TTTAGGGTTTAGGGTTACCAATCATCGAGCCGTCGTCTCCATGAAGTGAGCAGTGCTCCTTAGTAGGGAACCCTGGAATGAAAACTGTTCCTTCCGTTTGGGGCTTTGGGTTTGGGGGTTTAGGGGTCCAGGGTTTAGGGTTTAGGGGTTTAGGGTTTAGGGGTTTAGGGGTTTAGGGTTTAGGGTTTAGGGTTTAGGGTTTAGGGTTTAGACTGTAGTAGCTTCGTGTGGTTACTTTAGTTTCTCGTCCGGATTTCGGGTGTTGGAGCTTTGTGGGTGGCCCGGAGCCTCCTGAGGAGAGCCCTTGGCCTTCCTCTGGGGTCTCAGAGCCACGGTTTAGGGTTTAGGGTTTAGGGTTAAGCATCAGGACCCTTAGGCGGGTACATAAAGGGCAACACAAAGCACGTCTAAACGCCTCAAAATCTCCCCAAAGCCCCTGAAAACCCCTAAACGCCTCAAAATCTCCTCAAAGCCCCTAAAACCCCTAAACCCTGAAACCTGTGAATACAGCCCCCGGCAGTCAACAACAACCCTGGATCTATGCACCTCGCAACCTCATGTTTTGAGGCTTTCGCTCGGGCTCCAAGTATACAAATAGAACCTACTTTGGGGTCTAAAGTCTGCAAACAGTACCTACTTTGGGCTTTTTGCAGCCTCAGGGCTTTGGGCCCAAAGACCATGCTACATAAGGCTTTTGTGCTTTTTGGGCTAGTTTTAAGCCTTGAGGCTCTACTGTGAACCCCAATGTGGCATATATCAACCTTAACCTTCATCCCTTTTAGGGCTATTTTCGTCTTCAAGGACTCAGCCCACCCTGCAACAGCAATGCCTCTTATGCTTTGAGGGATTTGGGGCCCAAAGGGGGGTGTATGTAAGGTCAGAGCCCAGACCTTCAAAAGGATCTAAAAAATAGATCCCCTAATTAGGGACCCTAACTACTAAAGGGTACTTTATAGGAAGCCCCTTAAGGGATCAATTTTTTAGATCCTTTTGGGGGTTTGGGTATGGGGTGTATATAAGGTCAGAAGTCACCCCTAAACCCTGAGCCCTAGGCCCTTAACGTCCATGCAATCCCCGGATGGGTGGTGGAGGTTCCCACACCGCTGGTGGCGCCTGTGACGTTGGTGTCGGACATGCAAAGCAGTGATGTGGACTCTGCGGGTGTAAGGTATAATGTTCAGCCCTAAGACCTTAACCCTAGACCCCAAACCCTTCGACCCTAAACCCTACAAAACCTCTGGACTGCTAGTTAGTTTTTCAAGTTGTCTGAAACTCTTGAGGTTTAGGGTTTATGAAAACATGCATCCCATAAGTCACCTATTAAGCCCTACAAGCCCAGAAGCCTAACGCTTAAGCCTTCTACTCCCTGGGCTCTAGGCTTCAAGGTATTACTGTTTAGGAGTTGAGCGAACGCTGCTAAACCCTTAAACCTTAACCCCTAAACCCTAGACTGGGATTCTGTGATTAAGCGATGATCCAAACCACGAGAGTTGGCCCGAACTAGTTTGACATTTGCCGTTGTTTCTTAAAGGCGCCCTTTCGAAGGTAGTTGTGCTGCATTGTATTGTGTCTTTGTAGGTGCTTACGACCTTGTTTGCAGCGACGGCGCTTCCAAGAATTCAAGATGTCTGTGACTCCGCAGCCGCGCATCCCAATGCCGAAACGGCAATAAGTCCTCAGCCGACATCGTGTCCCCTAAGCATGCGGAGGATCCACCTAGATTAACCAAGATACCCAAACCTCGGTATATGCGAAATGTAATTGTGTCCTGTTGTCACTATGATTGTGCGGGAGCTAGGGACGCCCAAATTAACTCTCACTACCCTCGACATTGGATTTGTTTAGTCCCACGTTGGTTTGGGTAGTGGAGTAGGGTTCGTAGAATTGCAAGCCGCTGGCGCCAAGGTCGGGATTCCTCTCGGGGGAGTGTTCGAAGGAACCCTTCAATGAATTCTGCAAGAAATCCTAAAAGGAACCCTTACAGAACCCCTAGAGCAACCCTTCAAAAGAGCCCTTCAAAGGAACATTTAAAGGAGCCTTGCAAGGAACCCTTAAAGCAGCGACCGACCGCTTGAGGTTCCTCGGCGGCAGCGAAATGCACCAGAGCCGTCGTGGCGAGGATGGCCACTGAGAGGAATTTAGAGCCCAGATTTACTTGAAAATATATTAGGATCCCCTGATTTGATGTAGGGTACATGTCCTAGCTGGGGGTCTAGAAAAAGTTTTGGGTTTGGGGGTTTGGGTAGGCCTATTAGGGCTCAATCGTCCCGACCGAACAGTTTTTGTGACTCAGATCCTTTTCAAGTTAGACTGTCTATAGCGCTGGCTTTTCAGTGCCTCCCAGAACCCTGCATTCAGGGATTTTGGGGTTCAGGGTTTAAGGTTTAGGGTTCGGGTTTGGCTTTTAGGGTTTAGGGCTTGAGGAAGCCCAGCTTAAATGATGCGAAGAGAACCTCTGCATTCTAAGATCGACTTCTTGATTCGCGGGATGGCAGCGTGTTCCTGCTCTTAGGGTTTAGGGTTTAGTTCAAGTGATTTAGGGTTTAGGGTTCAGGGTACCGTAATTCCCAAGAGTTTAGGGCAAACCCTAAACCCTAAACCCTAAACCCTAAACCCTAATCCTTAGGGTAATGCAGGATTTAGATCACCAACCGTAGGGTTTCACATATTCAACGAAGCGATGCGAGATCGATCGCCGTCTCCGACCCAGTACTCTCCAGTATGAACTTGACGTTTAGGGGTTCAGGGTCTGGGGTTTAGGGTTTTTAGGGTTTTTAGGGTTTTGAGGGCTTTTAGGGTTTAGGGTTCAGGGTTTAGGGTTTAGGGATTAGGGATTAGTGTTTGGGGTTTAGGGTTTAGGGAGATTTTAGGGATTTGGGTGGAAACCTGTTCGATGGACTCAGGCCCCGAAAACAATAAAATGGACAGTCTTTCCGGACTTTTTGCCACAATGGCAGTACATATAAAGGCCCTAAACCCTAGGATATCTTACGTCCCCCAAACCCTAATTAATCAAGACTGTTAGTCTTTTCGAAACTTATGCGTAAACCCTAGACCCTAAACCCAAACCCTAAACCCTAATCCTTAAACCGAAAGAAACCCAAAGGCTCCATGTACCCATATAGTATATAC